TCGATTTAATCATCATTTGGCATACGTTTCTCAATTTTTCGATGAATGAGTTATGCATATATTGGAATAGCTTGCGATTAGACTAAGCAAACAATTCGGTATTTGTTTTACGCGAAAAGTTCTGTTTGTGCTTTTTTACTAAAAAATGTTATCAGCAGTCAACCGGACATGTGTTAGTGTTACAATTGAAAAGCAAGTACAACAAAACAGTGTACATGAAAGTAGAAACATTTGCTTGAAATGCCGACAATATTAGTCACACTTAATGCAAACTCAAAGTCTACACTACTGATACCAACTAAGGCGAAGAAGAAACTTAGAAAAATAATATCGCTGAGGTCGATTCTATAAATACTGACGATTTTAAAACGCAAATACTTTTTGATAAATTACTAATTAAGTAAATCTTTCACCGACTCATTCACTAGACAAATTTCATTTATCTAATTGTCCATTTTCTGGTATATCTAGAAGACAGTAATCTTGTTTCGGGAGGGGTTTGTTTGCTCTTTTCGCCAATGCTTTAATTTCCATAGCAATTAAGTCTGGATCAAATTAGATCTTTGACATTTTGGCCGACAATATATATATATAGAGAAATTCACCTTATAACTTTTACAACAACAATAGACCAATTATATAAACCAATTGAAAAAAAATCCGAGAAAAGGAAACAAAAAAAAAATAAAATAATAATAATAATAAAATTCTTGCTGATTATAATACGATCGTTACTACGCAAATATTATATAACGATCGATAACTACAGAGTCTTACGTAATCGAGGATATATTAGCAGAATGTCGTAGAATGTCGCAAAATGTGTTTGCGATATAGGTAGACGTTGCAAGCGGGATAAGACAATCGATAGGTTCCCTTCGTTCGCTAGTAGTTAGTTATATCAATATCAATAGCAAGAGTTATTGCAAATTTTCTACTTTAAAAAAAGAACGCTTGAAATTCTTTTACTGCAAACAGAAATTCTTGAGTAAATTGCAAGGCACTTGATAAAGAAATAAGAGAGAAAATATTTATGACTTCACTCTATTTTCGCTGCTATGGAATTTTAAAATGCTGAGTAATTAGTTAAGGTATTTGAAATATTTAAAGTGGTAAACATTTATTCCATATGATACAAAGTGAGTGTTTTCCATTATACCGTTTTTTTTTTTAAACATGTACGCGCAGTTAAGACATTGAGGCATATTAATTTATTTCTTTCGTGTGTAACATCTAGTTATGATCTATATAGGCTTTAATATATAAAAAAAATAAATAAATAAAAAAAAAAAACGATTTAGGTGTATATGGACCTGCTTAACATTGAAAACCGATTCTTAGAGGATCACACTGTAGCGGTCTCTGCTTTGGATTATGTTTTCATCACTTTATTTAAAGGCTTAGGTATAGTCTTTTGAGTGCTGTTTTATGCTGAGTGACACGCACTTTTAATTTCTCGACATGTGAAAATCAACTCAGCATAAATTCTTAAAATGTATTGTTTGCTTTATACTCAGCTCAGTAAATTCATAAACACAAATAACTGAAAGTTTACCGAGCATCCTGTGAACAAATCCGCTTATCTGAAATATTAACTGTCGTAGACAAAAAATTTTGGTGGATTTACTGCTAGCTAACGATTCTTCCTAATATGATTTGAACTTGGAAATTTACAAAAGGTCTTGACTGCTTAAAAATGCAAGTCGATATGACATATTTGCAGCGCGTGAATCTTAATTTTTTGCTAAGGAAGATAAGCTTTGCTCTTATCGCGAAATAATTCTCAACAAAGTTTTGTCGGACTTAACCATTCACCAAGTACGAAAACTTTGAACAGATATAATTTATATGATGAATATATTTTTCTACAGGTCTAATTGATATACGAAGTCCAAGATATTTAAGCAGTTATTATTAAGTAGTCGAATCGATTCTATCAATTTTTAAAAAGAAAGTTCGAAAAACTTAGAACGAATTAGTGAAAGCTAAGTTTGCATATATCGAATTAAATTGAACTATAAATTTGTAGGGATATTATGAATTTCATTAAATTGTGAAAATATATTTTTTTAATTTTTGTTTATATTATTTCACGTTATTAAAGCACAAAAATTATTTCTGCCTTTTATATTTGATTTATTTGAAATATATAAAAGTATATATAGACATTTATGAAAACACTTGAACGTAATTTTTCTCCCCTACTCTTTATAACCTCGTATCCATGACCCATATACGATTCATTCATAAAATTTCATTAACTCTTTTATTGCGTTATTGCATATGTATATAGTATTCCCTTACTTTTTTTTTTTCAATTACACAAAAATTCATTGTGAGGCTATGTTATCGTTCGACCATTGTTTGTTTACTTAAAAAAAAGTAAAAAAAAAAAAAAAATAAATAAATAAATAAAAAAAAAAGTCTACAGAAAGTAAATAAATGTTTCAGGTTAACTTCGTATTTTCATAGTGTTTTCAGATTTTCTTTAAATTTTTTCCTGATCTTAAAATACAATGATGATATCTATGTATTGTGTATAAGTATTTCTGTGGGGTTATGCACAATATATATATATATATATAAAGCATGTGTTAGAGTAGCTTTGACTCACGTGATTTCAAGAGCAACGCATCGCAAACAATGCTGTATTTTCTTGCACATACGTACGTATATGTCTCGGCATCTCTTGATATATGTATGCTTGTGGAGGCTTTACATTCAATGTTTATTAAATAATATATGTGAATGTGGGTGTGTGAAGTTCAATGTATTTTTAAAAAACAATATATATATATATATATATATATATATATATATATATATATATATATATATATAAATATGAAGAATTCGCGTAAACCTACGCTAATGAATTTAATTTAAATAAAAAGTATTGATAATAATGATACGACCAGCATCGTAATGATGATGATTGGGTGATTCATTCTTTTCTGGTAATGAGACTTATCAAATCATGAATGAACGCACGTATATGTTACATCATATATATATATATATATATATACATGTGTATATACATGTGTATGATACTTATGAAAATAATATATATATATATATATATATATGTATATATGCGTGTGTATCTGAAAGCTTCTTAAGTATATCTCTTAAGTCCAGACTGACGTGGTATAGAGTAAGTGCAGTTATTTATGTCAAACACTTAACAGTTTGCAAACGCAATTTATCAAGAACTACTTCGCTATGACTCATAGAAATGCTTCTTTAGCTCAAGGTTAGATTAACATATATTAAAAAAAATTGCGAAATTAGTTTATTGAAAGATGATAAGATTTGAATGATTCACTGTATAAAGCGACAAGTTCAGACTAACATGTTTTACTACGCTTTCCATTCGTAAAATTTTTATCCCTGAATTTTCCATTTCAAACTCCTTCTTCACGATTTTCGTCTAATGGAGCATTCTTTGCGAAAACTTTAGAACTAGCACAGAAATATGAAAAGAGAATAACTAATGACCTACTGAAGCCACGAAGCCTTCTTGAAGATTGCAGCTTACGCTTACATCAAGGTTTTGTCATTAAGCAATCTTTGCTCACCACCCATGGTAATAAGAGAAAAAGAGAGTGAAAAATAGCGAAAAAATTTGAATAAATTAATTCACTATGCGATAAAGGAAAGCGAAGCATAATGTTGACAATGCATTATTTTTTGTTTTTTGGTTAAAAGCCATCATTTTCATATTTGCTATCTCTTTTCAGTTGATGAGACTAAGATCGATCAATTACGGTATATGTTGAGAAGCACGTTCTTTAAACTTGAGGACAGAAGCTGGTTAGCACTAAGCTGCGGTAGATCTATTTATAGACGAGTAAGCACGCAGCTACTCATCTTGTATTGCATCAAATTCCTGTTCAGCTTAACCGAAAATTAGGGGATTTTGTCATTGGCTACGAAAAAATAGAGTGATCAAACAGTTGACATAATTTGATCCGATGATATTTCATAACACTTTGTAAAAGAGAAAAAAAAAAGTTACTGTGTTACTGTGTATTACCAAAAATTTCGGCATTTTCGATCCTGATGCAACATTTGTTTTTTATGCGTTCATTATCTTGGAAAGGGTGTACAGTGGACTAGTTATTCCGGCTCCATTGGCGAGCAAAGTAACATTTTGAGTCGGATGTTCGTCTAAATATCGTTTTCCGCCTTCTATTGGTATCCTCATCCGTTCAGGTGGCCACTTCGCTATGAGCTTATTTTTGAGTTCATCTGTACATTTATCAAACTCTATTGGTCGCAATCACAAGAATTAGCACATTAGCTAAAAGTGGTTTATCTTTCGCGTCAAAAATATTTAGCTAAGCTATATATATCGGACCATCTAAAAATTTAATACCTGCCTATAAAATCATTTTCTTGGCATGGTTTCAGGCGACAATAGCTTCTTTTCTCTTAGCGATCGAGATGGTGAACAAGAGCAGTGTGGAATTTGTAAGATATGATAACTTGCCCTAGTGCACACCATAAGTTGGTGAACTATTCCTCTATTTATCTTTGTTTAACAAGTTATATGCCCATGATAGATATTTTTAATTTTTTCAAGCGTTCGGTCCTAGCAATACTCCTAACGACTTTAAAAACTATATTTCATTCTCCTGCGAGTTTGCTAAAAATTTCATATAAACAATAGCAACTTGCACCAGCGTCAAGTCGAAGGAAAAATTGCAATAGCCCACAAGGCCCGAAAAAAGATGAGAGAAAAATAAAGAATTGGATTCAAATCATTCGAATCACTATATAAGAGTTAAAAATTACAAATTAACAAATACCAAATTTTGTAAGATGGGATAATAATTAGTAGTATCTGAGAAACAAAAAAAAAGAAGAAAAAACAATTGTAATAATAAAGAAAAGGTGGAACCCAACGTGTAAAAATGCGCTAAAATATCGTAAAGAGACATTGTTTGTACATAAATAAAATTTTATGTTTATGTTGAAAATTTTGCTTTACTAACCTGTTAGTATGGTAGTTGCATGGTGAAGCAATACTACCAATACCAGAAAAAGTATTTGATGACATAAATTGTAGGATTTTTCAAAATGCTTTTGCATTTCTTTTTTCCCGTCGCAGTGGACCACTCCAAGCACGGAAAACACTAATAACGAAGAGACAAATTTGATGGCTGAGTTTATACTTAACCGTTGATATATTGTGATTCGCTCTGACTATTGATACGTTTAATATCCTTTTTACGATGACAAGAGAAAACTTTGAAACTTATCAGTCACTTAAGAAAACACATAAACACACTAACGCGTGCATTAACGTTCGTCTTCGACGACTAAACTTTTGCTTTTATATGATTTACGTATTTGATACACTTTTGTATTTTTATTGGTTGGGTTTATTTTCGTTGCATAATGTGTTTTTTTTTTTTTTTTTTTTAAATACTACGTTTTCTTTAAAAGGCTATAAACTTTCTTATTTTAATGCTGCAATAATTTTCACTTTTAATTCCTTTTCTTTTTTCACAATGAAAATATTTACATTTTTTTTTTTTTTTTTTTTTTTTATATTATGGAATTTATTTGACTTATGCGACTGTTGTATATTTCATTAAAAATACGGAATTAAAGTCGGGACGTATTTTAATACCATTCCGTGCCAACGATTCTTTACTCGTTTATTTTTCATGCAACTCTAGGATCCTGTAAGGAATAAGAAAAATTTATTTAAGGACAACATCAAAAATGATATTGTACTTTCAAGATTATTATGGGTACATAATGAATTTGTATATTAAATATAAATCAAAATTATAGTTAAACGTCTCCAATAATGTTTGACAACTAAATCCAATAAACAAAGAGGCTTTTGAATAAAACGTTACATCCATTTATAAACAAAAGCTTTATTCATCTAATTTATGTAGCGGTGTAAAATAAGTTTTAGTTAATTATGGGCGTGTCAAATCTTCGATTAAAATTATTTTCGCTCTCTAATGTTAGACGAGCCTTCGTAAGAACAGTTTGTTTCGACCGTAGTTTGAGCGATATGAACACATTTTTGAATTATTATGCCCATCACCGAAGGATAAGGGGTACATTTATCTACGTCTGCAACGCCCAAAAAGGAGCATCAGAGGTCCCATAATGTATGTATTTTCTTGATGAACATCAAATTCTAAATCGACTTAATCTAGTCCGTCTGTCTGTCTGTCTGCGCAAATTTTGTAGTTTTTGTGGCAAACATTCTCCCGATAGTGAAAATGAAGACTGGGGTGACTTAAACTTCTTAAAGGACACGCCTACAACGCCCAAGCGGTAAATACATTTATTTTAGAAAAAACCAGTTATTTATTTATTTATTTTTTTTTTAAGGGTAACGGCGATGGGTACGGTTACGACCGAATATAATTTTCTTACTTATTTTCTTTTTTTACTTTGTTTTCTTAATGCGCCTGCTGATCGAGTTTGTACCCGTGCACTATAGTCTGTTAATACGTTTGAAAACATATTTTATTTAGGATATCTATCGTTGAGTTCGTAAGGATCAGTTCGTGGCAGACCAAGTCTGGCATTGAATTGCTCGTAAACACTATATGTCATAGTAACCGCTGCAAACGTTATCAAATCTAGTTTATAAAGACTATGGCTGGGCTCTTATTAAGATATTACAAAATACTCAAAATATTTGCATAATAGTGAAAGCTGCACAATCTAATTAGCTCCTTTTAATTACGGGGCCCATGTTTCCTAAACCGTTCGGTATAGATGGCAATATTGGTTGAAGAAATGCTTTGTGATGTAAATTGCTTTTTCTAACTTGAAGGCCTTCATCACCAGGCTTTCAACTAATTAAGCTGATGAAGATTAAGTAATTTATCGGTTTCATTCAAGATTGAAGCCACAACTCTCTGCGATGCAAACTAAATTTAAATGCAAATTGTGCGGCAGCTGCAATAAGATATGAACTTATCAATAGTAAAGTAGATTCCATCTGCGTAACTGCGATATGCGAAACTTCTCGAAGGGTGAAATCATTGGAATATCTCTAAAAAGGGGTTTTTTTGATCATTTTTTTGGGACACAAGGAACAATAATAAAATAATTGTATTTGAGGTGGTTATTAAACGTACCTTTAGCTTATAGAAAAAAAAACAGTTAGTTTTGGAAAATATTAAATAAAAGCACTTTTCGTGAGATATCATTTAATTAAAGTAACCCTAAAGTGCCCTATGCATCTACGAAAAAGAAAAACAATTTAAATTAAATTAAAATATCGATTTTTGTGTAACTGGCGTGCATTTGAGGAAAACAATTTGATTTTTGGCCAAAATAAACACTTGTTTATTAATGAAAAATATTCTAGAGAGTATTGTTTTAAATATGCTTTAAAAGATTGAAAAGAAAAGAATGAAAATTGTAGAAGCTACTCCGTAGCCGTAGCCATAGCCGTAGCCGTGAAAAATGTGTTTCAAGAAAAACAAACGCGTTTAAAGTTTTGATATGCGTTAAAGACATCTCTTCTTACTACAATAAATTTTTCATTATTTTTTTGTGCTAAGCAATGTGCTATCCCAGGACCATATAATTGCTATACCAAGTATAAACAATTCCCCTTGTTGATTGAGGGTTATTATTTTATAGGGTACTTTTACGCTGCATCAGAAATGGGAAATGACGGAAAAATGTATAAATCGATTGGTGAAGTCGTAACCAGCGCAAAAAATTTCATCCTAACCTAATTTCTCTCTCAGCGCCATGGCTACTTAAAGGTCGTCTGGGTGAAGCTGTAGTAATATATTTTGGCTTTGAAGGAACATAAATAGTTTCCAACGACAATGATTAGGATGTTAGAGAAGTTAAAAATTTACACGTAAACATTAGGCTGTAAGTTCGGAGCGACTGATCATAGTATGCAGTTGGTTTCTTCAGGAGAAAGCATGAAATTTCTAGGTGAAAATTGTTTGCGAGCTATGAATTTTTTGATTTTATATAACAAATGAAGGTTTGCTAGGGAGAGAGAGAGAGAGAGATGTGCCTGAAAGTAAGAATGACACACAACAATAATCAGTTATGGTTTTTCAATTTTCAATTTCCTACATTATGGCCTCATATATATATATATATAATGCAATTATATGATTTTGTATGATTTGATATAAAATCCAACCGTGCTTACTATTATTAATTTCTTTTCCTCATAGTTAATACAATTATGACGATTGCTTTTGTTATGTGCTTATGTGCTTTTGTTGTTTTTCGTTGAATGTTTATTGCTATTTATTTCCTCTTACAAGGGAATTTGCTTGCCATACATGACCCCATATATTTACATGCTCTCTTTTATGCCCTAGGGTTGAGGGGTATGTTCATTTTGTTAAATTGTTTGCAACGCCCATAAGAATGCCTCAGAGACTCCGTAAAGCGGTAATATTTTTAATCGGAATCAAATTCTGAATCGATTAAAGCATGTCCGTCCGTCCATTTGCCCGTCTGCATAATGTCTAATCTAAACATTTTCCTGTCGATGCCAAATTTGAGAGAAACACTTTAAGTTCTTGCACTCAGTTTGGTATTGAAAATGGGATAAATCGATGGCAGGATACATCTATAACAGCACACGCGAATACCGCTGCTTTTCGAAGGGGAAAGATCGTTTTTTTATTTGCTTTTTATACAAAAACTGTAACCTATAAACCCCTAAAACTTTGAGCGTACATACTATGGGCGATGCCATATTGGCTATATTGTAAAGTAAAAAAAATCGGACACATCTACTCAAGATTATATTGTATCAAATTTTAATTTGCTTTTCGTCAAAACATTCATATTACGCAGGAGCAAGGTTAACAAACTGCATAAACCGTATAGCTTCTTGATTAGTGTCGGTCCGTCTGTCCCTCTTTTTTTATCTGCCTAATTGTGTAATATATGTGTGATCAACATTCTCTCGTTCGCCAAAATTAAGATATCGCCGACCAATTTGAAAAAGAATTCGAAATTGGTCCAAACCGGTTGAAGGACACAAAGGCAACAATAACTGAGTACACCTTTACTTTCCGTGTTTTTTTCTTGGTAATTAAGAACTACACAGGACACAAAAAAAAAAAAAAAGCTACGCCCAATAATATGGAGTATGCAAATTAATTTGATTCTGGATTCTTATTATCTTTTGGGACAAGAGGTGATGGGTATAAAAGATTCGATCACAACCGAATATAATTTTCCTCCTTTTTTTTTTTTTTTTTGCTTTCTTTTCTTTACTTGCTTCTGCATACCAAATACCATACCATAATGCTTACTAAATAGACTTCAATCCACATAATTTTCTCATGTATTGTATTTAGGTTTTTTCCCTACATTTCTTTTTATTTAATTATGTTATATGATTTTTTTCAATAGATGTACTGTTTGCGGTTTCATAACTCAGCTCTTCCCTCTTCTATGTACTTCCCTCTTATTATGTAATCTTTATTGGATGCGTTAATGTTTTGCAGATTCTATTGATTGACTTGTAATTGAATTTGCATTTATCGCATTATTAAAATAAATTATATAGATTATATATAGACAATAGTGAGTGCCGCGTAGTACGCATAAGTAAGCAGAAGGACATACAAAGGGCAGCGTTAAGTGCAGCAGACTGTAGTGTGTAATAAATTATCATCTTATCTTGTTCACTATAAAGAGTTCATAGACTAAGTCAAATACCTATAATGCGCATCAGATGTGTAATAAAGTTTATATATTCTTGATCAGCATGAATAGTGGAATTAGTGTAGGTACTACACTCTTAATTTCGTCTTTGCGTCCAATTTTTTTTCTTTTCAATTCCACGTACGGACAAAGAAAACATTAAAAGAAAAGTGACTGGGGGAGGTTTGCTGTCGGAACTTCCATAGGAAGTTAGCAATTATGCCGTCTCTCAGAGTAGAGTTTAAGAAACGGTCCCATCCAATTTGAATTTCCCCAAGTTGATTTATATTGACTTTTCAAAACAAGGAGGTAAATGAGACATGATCTTAACGTGTTTTAATCTGAGCCATTTTTAATATCGTTGGTTTTCCAGTCGGTGTATTAAAAATTTGCCAAAACATTGGAAAAGTTGCGACCGGTATATAGAACACAAGCATATATAGACAGAGATGAAAAAGATAGATGGAAAGGCGTGCTTAAATCGAAACATAAAAAAAAATTAAAAGCGAGCGTACTTCTTAGGCGTTGCATATATACCTTTATTAAAAGTGTGGTGGAGGATAAAAGAACTTAGCGATTAATTTAAAAAAAAATAAAAAAGCCCCTCGTGCCAGATTTGGTGATGTAGATGCATTTGAGAATAGGGAAAGTATTTCTTGGCTGAATGATATGCTCAGCTTTGAAGTATATTAAGTCGTCTGGAAACCAAAACAAGAATGGAATGTGCTTCC